AAGGAGTAATGAAAGTATTTAGTACATAATATTGGTAAAGCTGGCTCATTACATGAAGAAAACCAATGTTTAGTGTTTATATATATATATAATTTATATATATATAATGCTACATACAAAGGAGGACTCACGTTGGATGAAAGACCTAAGTGATTATGGTAAACTATGAAGTTAAAGGAACATAATACATGAATATAGAGTATCATTGTGACGTGGGGCCAGGGAGACTTTTATTTTTATTATTATTATTTTAAGATTTTACTTATTTTAGAGATAGAGACGGAGAGAGTGAAAGAGAGAGCATGAGTGTGGGGAGGGCAGGAGGAGCAGAGGGCGAGGGACAAGCAGACTCCACATTGAGCACAGAGCCCCACGTGTGGCTTGATCTCATCACCCCGAGATCATGACCTGAGCCGAAATCAAGAGTAGGCGGCCCAACTGACTGAGCCACCCAGACACCCCCCAGGAGACTTTTAAATGAAAAAACCATAAAGCACAAGACCAAAAAATGATGAATTCAATCACATCAAAATTATTTCTGGATTGAACTAAAGATATCAAGAACTAAGTTAACTACAAATCCACAACAAAAAGATAACAACCTCAATAAAGAAAGGGCAAAGGACAAAAATATTCAATTTACAGAAGAGAAAATCAACCGGCCATTAGCCATATGATGAGTAAAGAGTTATCACATTATTCTATTTGGTAAAAATTAGAAAGCTGAAGACAATGCCAAGTGTTAGTGAGGAGACAAAGGAACAAGACCTGTAGGAACCAGTACTGCTGGTGATATTACAGTCTGGGGAAGAGAAATCTGGCTGTATCATTTGGCCAAACTATTTGCACATCTCATGATCCAGCAATTCTACTCTTGTGTATATATATAGTAAAGAAGTTCTCCGTAAGACCAACATGTACTCTGAAGCTTCATCTTTGATGGTAAGGAATTAGAAGTATTGTAGGTTTCCATCACTGAAGGAGTGGATAAGCAAAATGTGGTAAAAGCACACTAGACGTATACGTCGCAACACGGATGTACTAAAGGCAGAACTCTAAATGAAAAAAGCAAAACCCAAAATATCAACATCCCATTTATGCCATTCTGTAGGAGTGATTTTCAAAATGAGTTAGTAAACATCTCTAGTTTCAAATACACACTGAATTGTGGTAATAACATCATATGGTATGGCTTCAGGTCAATACTCCTCTGAAGAACATTTCTCTGGCTTCTACACATTCTTTTTACTTAACTCTGTTCCCCAAAATGTCTGGCACATACTACGGCTTAGGATGTCTTTTGAAAGAAAATGAGAGAATGACAAAGGTCTGCTGTAAGTAACTATACAAGCATGTTCTATTTTTATTCTATGAAGATAAAAATTCCCAATTATATTCAGGTGATTGGGTAATATGTTGCACAAAGACAAATGAAAAAAATTTTAAAGCAGGATCAATATTGATACATTTTTTACTAGATTCCATCTGCAAGATCATTATTGGGCTTTTCTTGTTATTGTGTTACTCAAAGCATTCTTTAAAAGGCCCACTCTACTTTTTTAGCAGAAATAAGACAAAGTCTCTTTGGGGGCACATGTAAATTCTAGAGTGAACCCACCACTGTTACTCCTTTATAATCCACGTGTATAATTTTCCCACATCAAAACTGAATTAAACACAGCTATTCCATTTATTCCTATGTATAATTTACCTTTAAAGAATGATTTTACCATAATTTCAGAACTACATAGCCTTACCTTACAAAATCTTCAGTTTTGTTATATCTTCAACTAAACTAAGTTTACCAAGGACAGGAAGAAATTTATTCCCAGGTATCACTTGTTCTTTTTTCCCACAAAACTAAAAGCAAAACTCAAGAAACAGGTGAGCTTTAAGGCAGTGAGACTAGAATGTTTAAGTTTAATATAGCATCTTTTTTTTTTACCAGCTTTGAGGTATGATTGATAAGTTGTATATATTTAACATGTACAATGTGATGTTTCGATACATGTATATATTGTGAAATGATTACTGCAAACAAGCTATTAATACAACCATTACCCCAGAGTTACCATTTTCTTGTGTGTGGTGAGAACACTTGAGATCTACTCTCAGCAAATTTCAGGTATACATAATTACTAACTATAGTCACCAGGTTGTACATTAGGTCTCCAGAATTTATAACTCCAAGTTTTTACTTTGTCCAACATCTCCCAATTTCCTCCATCCTCCAAGCCCCTGATAACTTCCATTCTACTCTGTTACTAGGAGTTTGACTTTTTTAGATTCCACCTATAAGCAGGATTATACGATATTTGCCTTTGTGTCTGACTTATTTCACTTAGCCGAATATCCTGTAGGCGGACCCATGTTGTAGCAAATAGCAGGATTTCCTTCCTTTTTAAGACTGAAGAGTATTCCATTATATATAAATCACATCTTCCATTGATGGGCACTTATGTTGTTTCCATATCTTGGCTACTATGACTAATGTTGCAATAAACACAGGAGTGCAGATACATCTTTTGAGATAGTGATTTCATTTCCTTTGGATATATACCTAGAAATAGGATTGCTGGACCACACTGGGATTTCTCTTTTTAATTTTTTGAGGAAACTCCAGACTGTTTTCTATATAATGGCTGTATCAATTTACATTCCCACCAACATGTATAAAGGTTCTCTTTTCTCCACATTCTAACACTTTTTATCTTTTGATTTTTTTCTAATAGTCATCCTAACAGGTGTCAGGTGATATCTCATTGAGGTTTTGCTTTGCATTTCTCTGGCGATTAGTGATGTTGAGCACTTCTTCATATACTTGTTGGCTGTATGTCTTCTGTGGAAAAATGTCTATTCAGGTCTTTTGCTCATTTTTTAATTGGGTTTTTGCTTTTTTGCTATTGAATTGTAGGAGTTTCTTATATATTTTGGATACTAACCCCTTAAGGGAAATATAGTTTGCAAATATTTTCTCCCATTCCAAACGTTGCCTTTTCATTTTGTAATCCATCTTTTTATGTTCAAAAAATACTAAACAAAAACATGTTATTAAATCCTAAAAAAAGCTAATCAAAATAGTTAGGCTGACCTCTGGTGGCCAGATGCCTCATCCCTCAGTAACTGACAAAATGATACAAAGTCATCTCTCATTTGTGGAGAAATCACCAAATAAAATACAGTAAAAGAAATAATATTGTTAGAAACTTCACATTCAGAGGAACATAGGTAGCAGGGACCCAGGGCATAAAAAGAGCTGAGCAATTAAAGGCCACAAAATAAGAAAAATGTCTCCAAATGTTAGTTTGTTCTAATTTTTAGTTTGCCAATTTTACATGAAAAACAAATGGCATATACAGTGGTTCTCAAAATAAGAATCGTTTCACACTATCCAATAATGTAGTCACTGGCCCCATGTGTCTATGGAGCACCCAAAATGTGGCTAGTGTAAAATAACACCGAATTTCAAAGACTTAGTAGGGAAAAAAGAGAATGTAAATCATTTCACTAATAATTTGCTGATTATATGTTGAAATAATAATATTTGGATATTTGGTTAATAAATTAATGCCCTTTCTAGCTTTCTCCACAGCTTTCCAGGCATTCTACATTTTATCTATAGTGAGATTATGCTAGCAGTATATCCTATAAATTCTTGGGCCTCTATGCTTTTGTTCCAGCTGATTAACCTAAAATACTCATCCTTTTTTGCCTTTTCAGAATTGGACCTCCTGATAATTTTGAAATTATAGGCAACCCAAATGCTACCATATTCATTACTTTAACTAGCATTTGAATACTTATGTTGTATGTATAATATGAAGCAAGAGAATGGATGAATAAATTATCAAATATTCATAGAACAGAATACTACAGAAACCGTCTGTGCCTCAGTTTCCTCATCTTAAAAGAAGCTAGAAGTTACCTTATTGGGGCTGTTTGTAAGGACTGAATGAAGTAAAGTGCTTACAACAGTGTCTGGCAAATAAGGGTCCATAAGGTGTAAGTTAGTATTATGAAAGTATCCATATGAATAAACCTCAAAAACAATATTAATTGAAAAAAGCAAGTTGCAAAGGATTATTTTGTTTGCAAATGATGATTTATATAGTGTTAGAACATGAAAACAATACAGTATATTTATTCAGAGACTTATTCATATGTCATTAATACATAAAACAGTTGAGTTCAGAAAAGCCGTTAATGCAGGAGAGAGAAGGTAATTCAAAAGGAAAAAGGTATACAGGCGGCTTTGTAATCTTCTATTTCTTTGGTTGGCTGTGAGTACAGAGATGTTCGTTTTTGTCTGATATAATACCATTTTTTTTTTTAAGTTTAAAGACCTAGTTCCTGCTCGAAGGCACTCCAAATTTCTTTATCTTTACCACTACCCTGAACACCATCCTCTGTGTTCTCCTTTGTTGAATACATTGTCGTCATGCACCTTTGTAAACTAGGCCTCGAAAGCTGGTGCCTCTAGAGTAAGCTAGGTCTAAATTAAATCATGCCTCTCTTCGCAGCTCTTCCCAGACTGCCTCCCTCTTGCAGACCCTCCACCAGCCGAGGTCCTAAGGTTTAAAATGACAGAGGCCCGCTTCCATCAGGACACCTCGTAACGTCCCCCTCAGCAGATGGGGAACGTCCGCTTTCTCAGTGGAAGCCGGGACGCTGCCCAGCCTCCAGCACGCCCTCTTTCCCTTCTCGACGGATCTCCACACGAACCCTTACGCCCGGGATCCCCTGCTCCCCCTTAGCCGGAGCAGGAATTTTTCCCCTCAGCGGATTCCCTGTTCTCACCCATGGAGGATCCTTTCTTCTTTCTCGCCCCACGCCCAGCTGCACGACCCAGCTAGGTGTAGCACCACGAGCTCCGCCCGGACAGTAGCACCACGGCTCGGTAAGTAGCTGACACCACTTCCAGACGAGCCGACGCCCCCTCCCCTTACAAACGCTACTTCCCACTCGGAGAACCGCGGCGCAGATCCTAAGCGCATGCGCCCAAACTGCCGTAATTCAGGGAGGGATCCATCTCTTCCCGCTCTCGCGGCAGTCTCGCGGTATTTCCTTCCCCCGCGGGAATTATTTGAACGCTCTGGCGGTAACTCCACCCTGGGTGCTCAGCTGCCTGCTGACCGGAACCCGAGGCGCCTCTGTAAACTTGACCTGCGGGCCGTAGGGACCCTGCAGCCCGGAGCGGACGAGGCTCGTCCCGGCCGGGTGCCGGCGCCATGGGGGCGGAGAAGAAGCTGCTGCCGGTTAAGGAGGCCTTTCAGCTGGCGCAGCAGCCGCACCAGAACCAGGCGAAGCTGGTGGTGGCGCTGAGCCGCACCTACCGCACGGTAAGCGCGGCCCCGGGCCTCGGCCGCCGCCCCTCGCTCTCCCCGGACCAGCGTCCCCCAGGGGCCTCCCGTGGCCCTCCGGACTCCAACCTTCTGAACCTCCCGACCCAGTTCGGAGAGGTCTGGAGACCTGCCCCAGGTCGCCCGGGCACCCCCTCTTCCCAGCGGCCTCCGGCGCGGACCGTTAATTCTTTGTGAATTTGGAGAGCAACGTTTACGAGCACCGGGGCGACCTGGCGCCAAGTGTTGGGCGGCTGGGTGGATCCTGAACGGGGTAGTTAAGCGGTTGTTGTCCCTCAGGTCACCGCCCACATCAGGAACGCCAGATTATTCACAGTTAAATAGAATCGAATCACCAAATAACAAATTAACCATTAGGACCCGGCTCTTCCTATTTAAGTAAATACTGTTTTGAGTGGTGCCGTGAGAAGAACAGGACAGTGAGTTTCGGGAAAATTATCTTGAGGTCCAAGAAAAATTGTAAGTCAGTATAATCGGGTTTAAGGATATGAGATAGGATGTGAACGTTATATCAAAAGGAAATCGCTGTGTAAGAGTAAGGCTAAATGTGGTAAAATATGAAAGCCATTGTTGATTTTGAGTTGTTTCATGAAGAAGCATATTTTTACTAAACTGGCACCAAGGCATATTGAGAATTTAAAGGGTATTAAAGTCAAAGGGATCCTTTCACTGTCAACATTCACATTTGTTTTCTTCCTTGGAGAAGTACATTTCTCTGGAGAGAGATCTGTGCAATTTTTTTTCCTTTGATAGTTTGGAAACTCACCTGAGAGTTTACTAAATAATGATTTTAGTTTGAGTTACGACTAGTACTTTAAGAAGTCTTAGGGTACTGTTGGGAAAAAGGGATTATATCAGTGCAGTTTGTGAAGCGTTTCTCTTTTGTCTTTCAGATGGATGTTAAAACAGTTTTTCATGAGGAGTTTGTCCATTATCTTAAATATGCTATGGTGGTCTATAAACGTGAACCAGCGGTGGAGAGAGTAATAGACTTTGCAGCCAAGTTTGTTACTTCATTTCACCAGTCAGATACGGAAGATGATGAGGAAGAGGAAGATGGTGGCATTTTAAATTATTTGTTTACCTTTCTTTTAAAGGTATGAAAACTGGAACTTTGGGGAAGTGTTGTAGAAAACTTTATTATATTAAAAGGGCCATGGGAGTTTGTGTGTTTTAGAGAATGAAGTATTTAGTAACAAAATGTGGATGAGTCTGCCTTTTATAGGAAATACTAGAACTGTCATTAAGATTAAAAAATGGACTTAAAATAAATGCAGCATTAAGTTTTTAATGACCTCTCTTTGCCAGTTCTCACATCATTTTAAATGAGTTCTTTATTTTAGGGGCGCCTGGGTGGCTCAGTTGGTTAAGCGACTGCCTTCGGCTCAGGTCATGATCCTGCAGTCCCCGGATGGAGTCCCACATTGGCCTCCCTGCTCAGCAGGGACTCTGCTTCTCCTTCTGACCCTCCCCACTCTCATGCTCGCTCTCTCTATCTCATTCTCTCTGTCAAATAAATAAATAAAATCTTTAAAATAAATAAATAAATAAATGAGTTCTTTATTTTAGAAGTAAAGTAAAAATTCCTACAAAGAGAAGTATGCTCTTGTAATTTAGCTTATACTTTGGATTGTGTATATATGTATATATTTTAAAGATTTTATTTATTTATTTGAGACAGAGAGAATGAGAGACAGAGAGCATGAGAGGGAGGAGGGTCGGAGGGAGAATCAGGCTCCCTGCCGAGCAGGGAGCCCGATGCGGGACTCGATCCCGGGACTCCAGGATCATGACCTGAGCCGAAGGCAGTCGCTTAACCAACTGAGCCACCCAGGCGCCCTGGATTGTGTATATTTTAATACTTTTAGTATGCATATGGATTAAGGTAGCATTGTAGTTTCTCTGCGAGTAATGAATTACTTTTGTAACTTCCTGAATTCTAAACAATTCAAATGGTATGTGATTGCAAATAAATTTTGATTTGTTCCTGTTTCAGTCTCATGAAGCAAACAGCAATGCAGTTAGATTTAGAGTGTGCCAGCTCATAAACAAGCTCTTGGGAAGTATGCCAGAAAATGCCCAGATTGATGATGATTTGTTTGATAAAATTAATGAAGCCATGCTTATTAGATTGAAAGATAAAATTCCAAATGTGAGGATACAGGCAGTTCTGGCTCTTTCACGACTTCAGGATCCCAAAGATGATGAATGTCCAGTCGTTAATGGTATGTGTAGCTTCCTAAAATCTTTTTCAGTTTCCTTGACTTCGTTAAATTCTCAGTAGAGAGGTGTTTTGTTTTTTTTTTCTCTCTCTATGTGGAATAGTATAGGTCATATATATATATATATATATATATATATATGATTTTTAAAAATACTCAAGTAGCCACCACCCAACTTAAAAAAATAGAACATCATCAGTGCCTTTGAAGACTACCTTACATCCCACCCCACTCTCAGAGTTAACGATTATCCTGAATTTTGGGTTAATTACTCTCTTGTCTTTCTGTTTAAACAATTAGCCACATGTGTGTGTCTCTAAAAAGTTTTGCGTATCGTTTTGTATGCTATATGAGTCATACTTTTCTGTGCTTTCTAATAATTATTTATAATTGTAACATTCATCCATGTTGATATATTTACTGTCTTACAGCATTCTGTCGAATGAATTGTTAACACAGCTAATTATTCTAATAATGACAGACTATCTGGTTTCCAGTTATTTTGTTCTGAAAAAAATGGTGTTGTTGCTATGAACTTCCTTATCATGGCTTCTGGTGCACAGCTTAAATAGTTTTTTCTGGGGTGTGTACCTAGGGTGGATTTGTTAGGATATGTGCACATTCAGCTTTATTAGATAAGGTACAAGTGTTCTACAAAACAGTTTACTAATTAATACTCCCAGTAACCGTGCATAAAAACATTCATTGATCCATATTCTCTCCAGTGTTAGATATTGTCAGATTTTAAAATTTTTGTTTATCTGGTTGTATGTATGAAATATATCCTTTTATGCATCTTTTCATATATTTAACAGTCAATTGTATTTCTTCTATATAATGCCTATTAATGTGTTCTCATTTTTCTGTTTGTCATATTGATTTACTGGAGTTCTTATTCTGGAAAGAAATTTTGGAGTTGTGTGAATTGTAGATTTTTTTCAACTTTAGATGGCTCTTTGTTTCACCCTCTTTGGGATATCTTCTGTTAGACAGAAATTCCTAATGTCAAAATTAATCAGTCTCTGCCTTTATGACTTGCACTTTTTTCCCTTTTCTTCCTTTCTTTCTTTTGATTTGCATTTTCTTTTATTTAAGAAATTTTTCTCTACCTCTGGGCTCGTAAAGATAGTCATATTCCACTTTTCCATACATGCCTAGCTACATTTTGGGCACATTTTCATTTTTTTCTTTGTACCTAACGTTAATAGCTTTATAATCAGTTTTGATAACTGATGATAGTTAATACTTTTTGGTGTTAAATGGTACACATAATAATATTGTACAAAATAAATGTTTAATAGTCAACAAGTACTTAATTATAAAGCTGGGGAAAATTTGAGAAGTAGAGTTGAATAAACATTTAAATACAGGAAATGGATTTTATTTCAGGGAGTAAAATTAGAAGTTACATCCTTCTTTAGGACTCATTAAAAATCAAAATAATGAGCCCTTTATAAAACCTTATTACTTTAAAATAAACTGCCTGCTATACTAGGCTTTCTTTTAGATCTTGAAGAGTAACAAAGACATAATCTCAGGGTGCCTGGGTGGCTCAGTTGGTTAAGCCATTGCCTTTGGCTCAGGTCATGATCCTGGAGTCCTGGGATGGAGTCCTGCATTGGGCTCCCTGCTCAGCAGGGAGTCTGCTTCTCCCTCTGACCTTCCCCCCTCTCATGTGCTCTCTCTCAAATGAATAAATAAATAAAATCTTAAAAAAAAAAAAAAGACAATCTTATTGATGGATTTTCCATGATCTTTAGGGCTCTTTGTTTTTAGTTTTAGACTTTGTGCCTAGTCTTTTGACAAATTTCTTAATTTATTTTTTAAGGGAAGTTGGCAGGAAAAAAATCTTCCGCTAAAATTAAATGTGTAAGACTAAAAATTATCTTTATTATCTTTATTATTTTAAAGACATTGTCAAATACCAAAATGTGGGCTATCTTATGACTGTGGTTAAATAAATAATATTTCTTTTTTTTTTTTTTAAAGATTTTATTTATTTATTTGAAAGAGAGAATGAGAGACAGCACGAGAGGGAAGAGGGCAGAGGGAGAAGCAGACCCCCTGCTGAGCAGGGAGCCCGATGCGGGACTCGATCCCGGGACTCCAGGATCATGACCTGAGCCGAAGGCAGTTGCTTAACCAACTGAGCCACCCAGGCGCCCAAATAATATTTCTTTAGTGTACTAAAATGTATTGCTCTATTTTTAGCATATGCTACTTTGATTGAAAATGATTCAAATCCAGAAGTTAGGCGTGCAGTGTTATCATGTATTGCACCATCAGCAAAGACTTTGCCAAAAATTGTGGGGCGCACCAAGGATGTGAAAGAGACTGTCAGAAAGCTGGCTTATCAGGTAAATAAGCCTAATAACTTGTGTAGACATATTCTTAAAATACTTTTGAAAAATATTTGGCATGTAATAATGATTTCTTCAATTTTTATGGATTTTTATGAGATTTTTATGGATAGAAAGTATAGATAATTTAGGTATACTCTTATTACATTAAATGTGTTACCAGATATTTGTTTTGGAAATTCTGGGTTATTTTCTTAGATGAAGGAGATATTATTAGTTATGAAATATGTAGACTATGTTGAGTTTAATGACCACCTTATTATTATTACTATCTCTTTAAGGTTTTAGCTGAAAAGGTTCATATGAGAGCTATGTCCATTGCTCAGAGAGTAATGCTCCTTCAACAAGGTCTTAATGACAGATCAGGTAAGATAGACTTCTGTATATACAAAACATCAGTAGATTTTCGTTTAGTAGACTTAGAAGATTTAGAAAACATGTGTTCTTAATTATGTCAAGTAAGCCCATCAATGACACAGCCTGTCAAAATTTAGCTTGATACACCATGTAGAAAACATTTCAAAGGGTTAAAGATCCTGGTAGTTAAAGGAGCAGTGTTTATTTTAATTTTCCTGTGTTTTACAGATGAAACTATATCTCAAGGCTATATAGCTAATTTATATCAGAGGGCAGGAACTCTTTTTCAACTCTCTCTTCTAAAAAAGTGCTATCTATTCCCTTTGTGTATATCTTTTCTTTCTTCCTTTTTTTTTGTATTTGAGAGAGAAAGAAAGAAAGCATGAGAGTGGGGGGAGGAGCCAAGGGAAAGGGAGAAGCAACCGCCCCGCCCCAGAAGGCCTGACAGAGGGCTTGATCCCAGGACCCTGGGATCATGACCTGACCTAAAGGCAGACTCTTAACTGACTGAGTCACCCAGGCACCCTCCCCTTTGTGTATAGCTTGATAAGAATGTGTGCTGTACTGTGGAGACAGAAATTAAGAATGATCAGACTAGCATAATTTTCCTTTTTTTTTTTTCTTTTTCTCTCTGTTAAAACTAGAGACTGCTCACAGGAATAATGAGGAACAATATATCTTAAATTTCCAATCCCCATGAGAAGACTAAGATAGCTTAATTTTGCTGTAGCAAGAAAACTTTAGTTTCAAAACATTGTCAGAGGACTAATGACTGGGAGGATGACTTCTTAAAAAACTAAGAATAAAGTTTGTTCAGTGATACATGCTTGTATGATTCACTACTGCAAATAACAATCGTGTAATAGATGAAGTCAGGCATCAGGTGAAATAATCGCTATCATAATGTCAGGACTAACACTGAAGCCCCGTGAACCCTGGGGAGAAGGAATGCAGATATTTTTGTAGGCCGTGATAGTGATTGGGTATTGGTTTGGGCCTTTTCCATTTTTATTAGAAGTGAGCAGCATAGTGATTTTTGCAATATTATTGTACCTTTTTTTTTTCTTTGGTATTTTTCTTTGTTGTTCTTAGTCTCTTCTCATTTTTATTATAAATACTGATTTTATGTTAACATTAATCTGATAAAAGGTCATTAATACAGACAAAATATAGGAAATGGAAGCTAGAGGGAGCCTCTGTTCACTTATATTTCAAATGACTTAACAGATGCTGTGAAACAAGCAATGCAGAAGCATCTTCTCCAAGGCTGGTTACGTTTCACTGAAGGAAATATATTAGAGTTGCTTCATCGGTTAGATGTGGAAAATTCTCCTGAAGTGGCAGTCTCTGTTCTCAATGCCTTATTTTCAGTGGCTCCTCTTAATGAACTGGCAGAAATCTGTAAAAATAATGATGGCAGGTATATATTCATTACTTGAAATGTGATACTCGTGAACTTCTCCAATTAAAATTAGTCCTTTTCTGATTACTTCGGATTGTTTCAATAGCTTTTATCTACCTCACTTGTGTTTTCTTTACTCTGATGGATGTCTTTTCTCATTTATCCCTCTTGTGTAAGAACTCACTACCTTATCATAGACTACTTTAGCTGCATTCTTTTTTTTTCCCATTTTGTTACTTTGATTTTTGCATTAGCTTACCATGGAAAGTCCAACGACATGCTTCCCTATTGTATGCTTGCTTGTTTGATTCTTTTTTTTTTTCTTTTGCTCTAAATATTTTCATTTGTGTGTGGGTGGATAAGTTAATGACTTTGCAATTAAAAGGATGCTGGTTATAAATCAGGTCTGCTTTTTATTTCCCATTTTTTATACTCCATTCAAATTTTTAACTTTAAGATTATTCTTTCTCTTATTCTCTCCCTTTTAAATGAAGGAAACTGATTCCAGTGGAAACATTAACTCCTGAAAATGCTTTGTATTGGCGTGTCCTTTGTGAATATGTGAAATCAAAAGGAGATGAAGGTGAAGAATTTTTGGAGCAAATTTTGCCAGAGCCCATAGTATATGCAGAGTATTTACTAAGGTAAAATTTTTTCTTTTTGTTTGGATTGTACTTTTGTTCCTGTGTGTGTCAACCGTGTAGCCCCCTTCCTCAAAGTCATGCTTGATCAGGGGTCAGTTATTTGGCTAGGCAGGGATAAATAAGAATGTGCATTGAGTCTGAAGAATATTCTGTGCTGGACAGAACACTGAAAGAGTAAAAAGTCAATATGTTTAGGGACATTCCTTAAAACCATTAGGATGGGGTGCCTGGGTGGCTCTGTTGGTTAAGCGACTGCCTTCGGCTCAGGTCATGATCCTGGAGTCCCTGGATCGAGTCCCGCATCGGGCTCCCTGCTCGGCAGGGAGTCTGCTTCTCCCTCTGACCCTCCCCCTCTCATGTGCTCTCTCTCATTCTCTCTCTCTCAAATAAATAAATAAAATCTTTAAAAAAAAAAAAAACCGTTAGGATGTGATTATGAACATTTCTCCATAAAGTTGATAATGATGATATGTTACTCTTTGAAATTGGTTGGCAAACCTTTTCTGAGGGTCAGATAGTAACTATTTTAGTCTGTGGACCTGTGTCGCAATGACAGCTCTGCTGTGGGTGTGCAAAAGCAGCCAAAGAATATATGATGAATGATTGTAACTGTTTTCTAATAAAACTTCTTTCAACTTTTATGGACACTAAAATTTTAATTTTATGTAATTTTCATCTGTATATATTTTCAAATGTATTTGTGTATACATCCATGTATAAATAAGCTTCCATTTAGCTTGCAAACTGTATGAAAACAAGCAGCAGGCTGTATCTGGTGCATGGGCCATACTTTTCCAACTGACAAGGTGAACCTTTGTGGCTAGTTTAATATTAATTAAAACTGTCACCATTTGGCTTTTTGTTTTTTAAAAAGTTTTTTCAAAATATACCTTTTTCTTAATTATTCTCATTTCACTTTAAAATTACCAAGTAAAACATGAATGCAATTCTTGTCAAAATTCAAATACAGAAATATATAGAAGAAAAATGTGGAATTTTCCTTTCATCTCCTAATTCCTCAGTTCCATTTATCTTAGACTTAACAATTTGGCGTATACACTTTCAGACCTCTTTCTCTACATTTATATACACATACATTAAAATACATAAATATTTTAAACATAGCACACTATACATATTTGGGGTTTTTCCCCAGCTACTTATATCTGCGATCATTATATGTTGGTGCATATAAATTTATCACACTCTTAACAACGCATCATCCCATAGTATGATGGCAATCAATTGGCAATCATAAAATCAATTTATAATGGCAATTAATTTACTTCTCTGTCAATGGACATTTAGCATGATTCCAGTTTTCACTGACAAAGTTGTGTTAGACCATACATTTTATGTATGTTGGGATTTTGTGGGGTTGATTCCCAGAAGTGGAATTGCTGGGCCAAAAGTTATATATATTTTGATAGATTTTGGTGTGTAGATTTTTTTTTTTTTTTTAAAGATTTTATTTATTTATTTGACAGAGAGATAGCGAGAGCAGAAACACAAGCAGGGGGAGTGGGAGAGGGAGAAGCAGGCTTCCCGCCGAGCAGGGAGCCCGATGTGGGACTCGATCCCAGGACTCTGGGATCATGACCTGAGCCGAAGGCAGACGCTTAACGACTGAGCCACCCAGGCGCCCGGTGTGTAGATTTTTAACTTTATGCTTTTGATGCATTTTTAAAAAGCTTCTTCCATATAACATGAATTACAGGCCTGAATTTTCTTTTATGGAATGTAATATTCTGCTTTTGCTTATAATGATTCCATTTAAGTTAGGAGGCAAAACTATAAGTGCATTTTAATTTGTATGCAAAATATTGAATCAAGGATAAATATCTTAAATGTGAGCCAAAATGGAAACTTACAACCTGAGTTCATAGTAACAGCATAAAAAATATGTGTGAATCTCCTGTTTCAATAGTAATTATTTCAGATTTCAGTATTTAGAATATTCGTTATAATGCTCTTTGAGCCATGTTGTAGTATGTCCAAAACGAATGAATTTGATGCAATGCTTAATAATATGAATTAATATAAAAGTAATAAATGTTCATAGAAAATAAAGAAAATATGAGGAAATAAATATTTAAGTAACAGAGGGAGAGCCTCTCCTCAAGGATTACTTCACAGATTAACTCTTAGTTACTGAAATCAACAGGTAGGGAGCTTGGTTCTTCTGGCTCTGAGAAGTCAGGGATTCTTGTATTTCCTCTGTCACTTAATCTGTGAGTTTTGAGATAGGTAACTTTTAATCAGCTTTTTTTCATTTATAAAGAAGAAAACTTTAAAAATTGTATTTTAATTATTATTGAAAAATACTTGAGAAATAGAGTGGTTTTCTTTTTGGAGCAACATCACTAGATAGGATTAGCTTATTCAGGTACAGAAACAAAATTAAATGGAAAAACTATTTCCTGATAATCTCAGAGATATATTTTCAGACATTTTGTAGCAGAAAGAGGTAGTGACTCAGAATTCTGATATGAAACAATTTCCTGTTAACTGAGGTATTCACATAAAGGAAGAAATCAGGGATATTAAATTAGGCTTGTCAAATTTGAGGAAGAAGAAGAGACACCAACATAATTTTTAGAAAGTGACTTAAGTCTAAATTCTTGGAGAGAGCTTTAAGAATAAGAAAAAGGCTTTCTTATTCTTGAGTGGTCTCTTCATTGTAATGAATATGTTTAAAAATGGTTAAAAAGATGATTTCATGGTAATTAAAATTGGTGGGTCCATTTTGAGTTGTATTTATGCAGTTCGAGATTTGTAACCTATTAATGAACCAACTACTCTTTGAATTTATTTTAAAAAATACCCTCTGTCTTGATGCATGCATTGTGCTAAAGCTAGAGTGGAAAAGTACTCAAAGGGGAGGGGAGGATTCAAAGATGAGTGAAGGTTTTTTAGCTTGTCAGAAACCAGCAACTACTAAGCTAATGATTTTGATAATTATTAGTTTCTTTCCTTTAGTTTTCTACTAGAACCCAGAGTGCTGATACCATTGAAAGTCCTAATCTCATGGCCAGAGATTTGTGAGCTTTTATTTACTCTTGGTTGTCATTTTAAAGACAAGTCAGTTTATTCATCAGACATAGTTCTGCAGTTTTTATAACTTGATTTTTGTTGACATTTTATTTTATTTTTTTTTAAATTTTATTTATTTATTTGACAGAGAGAGACAGTGAGAGAGGGAACACAAGCAGGGAGAATGGGAGAGGGAGAAGCAGGCTTCCTGTGGAGCAGGGAGCCCGATGTGGGGCTCGATCCCAGGACCGTGGGATCATGACCTGAGCCGAAGGCAGATGCTTAACCAACTGAGCCACCCAGGCGCCCCTTTGTTGACATTTTAAAAATGACATTTTTCATCAGGATTGTTTTTCATATTACTTATAGCCTAAAAGCACCTAGTTGTCTAAGCTTAAACTCCTAATTCTGCCTTTAAGTAGCTTTTTTTTGATCACACAAGAAAAGGGAGACCTTTTGATAGGCTGTTGAATTTTATCTAGGTGAGGTTTGTAAAAGGCTTTAATTTGGGCAGTGATAGTAAGAATAAAAGGGTAGTAGATGGTGCTTGTTTAGGAGTATCTACACTAAAATAAGAACAATACAGATATTAGTAGGGCCCCTAAGCAAGGATAATACAAATTCATGAAGGTCTATTTTTCTGATTTTTTTTAAAAGGTCATTGTATTCATGGATTACTTGCATAATTGGTATTAATTATTACTATTCTTTTAAGCAAAAGAATAATGGTCAGTTAGGGATGATGAGTGAAGACTAGCTCTTTATGAAAAACTGAGTTTTTATTAAAGGGATCCAGGACTCTAATTGAAAATATTGGTGACATTGAAATAATGTTATCAATTTGAGAGTCATAAATATGTGCCTTTTGAAAATTTCCCATAAGAAATTTGAATCTTTATTGAGTATATTTTCCAAATTCTTTTTGATTCAAGCCCATAAGTTTGTTTGCAAAAGTTCATAACAATAGCATAGAGTTTATTCTTTAGGCCAAATTAGAATAATGTGGTATAAATATCCATATATTTGAAGTAATATGAACTGAAAAAGACCCTTTTCTGACCTCATGGGGAGCTGTCTAATGTTTTTTTTAACAGATTTTACATTTTTTTTTTTCTGCTTGTTTTAGTTATATTCAGAGTATCCCAGTTGTTAAAGATGAAATGAAAAATGATTTTTCTTATATTGGAAATTTGATGTCAAAAGAATTTATAGGTCAACAGTTAATTCTAATTATCAAGTCTTTGGATACAAGTGAAGAAGGAGGAAGGTATGTCTAAATATTAACCCTTGTCCTAATTTGCTCTTCTAACATCCTGTATTGAAATATAGTCTTGTTACGGTATGATTAAGTATATTTATATTTAACCTAGCTCTCTAAAGTACAAAAAAGAGTTTTCTTTTTCCTCTTACACATGTAATATCTAACAGGAAATACACCCTTTCTCTCTCTCTCTCTGTCTCTCTGTGTATACATACATATATGTGTTTGTATATATATATACATACACACACACACACATACATATAATTGACTCTTGAACAACACGGGGAGGGGGTAAGGGTGCTGGTCCCCCATCCCCTCTCTGTGGAGTCAGAAATCCACATATAACTTTTGACCTCTCAAAAACCTAATTATTAATAGCCTATTGACTAAAAGCCTTACCAATAAGCATAAACATAAAAATTGACATAAACAGTTGATTAACATGATTTTCTATATTATATGTATTATATACCATATTCTTAAAATAAAGTAAGCTAGAGAAAAATGTTATTAAGAAAATTTAAGGGGGCGCCTAGGTGGCTCAGATGGTTAAGCGTCTGCCTTCGGCTCCAGGTCATGATCTCAGGGTCCTGGGATCGAGTCCCGCATCTGGCTCCCTGCTCCTTGGGAGCCTGCTCCTCCCTCTGCCTCTCTCTCTCTCTCTCATGAATAAATAAATAAAATCTTTAAAAAAAAAAGAAAAAGAAAAAAGAAAATTTAAGGAAGAGAAAATAAAGTACTGTATTGTATTTCTGGAATTGTGCTATACTATATTTATGGGCAAAAATATGCATATAGGTAGACCTGTGCAGTTTGTATCCATTTTGTTCATATATATGGAAATACATTCAATTTTTTCAGAATAAATCAATAAAATTGCAGATTTTGCTTAAAAATCTCTATTACAGAGAAGGCTAGTAATACTCTCTAAAGATTTGATTCACTTCTGATGTTTTTCATTTCATCATGTTGATTTATGACAGATTGTAGGGTCTTTATAAAAATATTTTTTTATTTTTTGCAGAACATAAATTTTTGACCTAGTCTATACATAATTTTTTTGTACCTATGGTGATAAAAAAGAACTGAGATAAATAAAATTAAATCTGCAGAATAAATGAAATGTTAGAGATAAAATGTGTTTCTACCATCATGTTTAAGTGAAAATAGTTCTTTTTGAATGCAGGAAAGGACTACTGGCTGTTTTACAGGAGATTCTTACTCTACCCACAACCCCGGTATCCCTACTTTCTTTTCTTGTTGAGAGATTGCTCTGCATTGTTATGGATGATAATAAGAGAACACAAATTGTAAGTAATTTTCTTAATTGTTCATAAAGGTTAAAAGGTTTTGGTCAATGATATTGAGGATTGTCTTGTTTTCTTTTCAGTATTTTTTGCTTTATTTATCTTTAATTGCCTTTTGTTTTAGTCTTGTATATTGTTTTTAGACTTCTTAAAACTAAATCTCTCTCCCACACACACATTTGAAAAATCATCTCCTTCTCTTCCTATCATTCTGTTGAATCAGTTTGAAATGGAACAAGTTAGGGAAGAGGGGACACATGTGTCTTAGTCACTAGAGTGTTTGAGAGCTGGCTCAAATTAGACGCACTTAGGTTCAGATCCCTTCTGCTACTTTCTAGCTTTGTGACTTTGAGCAAGTTACTTAATTTAGCCTTTTTACTTGTCTGCAAAATGAGAATAACAATAAAATCTACCTTGTTCAATGAAATAGTGTTCATCAAGTGCTTGGTAAATACAGAAATAAATGTTATCTGTTATAATACTATTGCCAAGTATTATTTTTTCTGGGTTAGCCAAAAAGACCCGTATCAGTGCTTTTCATCAATTCATACAATCTCTGAGTTGCAAATTAATTCAGGGTTGTCTTTTCCAACCCCTTCTTATACATACTTACACATAAATCCTTTCTACAACATGCAACATTCCCAGTTAGTGGTTATCCAACATCTGCTTAAGTACCTTCATTTGGGATATAGCCTTTTCCTGAATCAGCCAACTGTTGTGTCCCAGTGGCTCTGAAAGGAAAGTCTTTAGTTATGCTGTCATTATTTATGCATTGTATACCCAAAGGAAGAATAAAAGAGTGTTCTGTTTTTCTATATTTAACTCCCGTGGAGCTAAACAAGGGAGAGAGTTGAGGATTATAGACAGAGAATTCTAGTTTTTGGTGCCTAAGATTAGATACTATATTCATTTTTCTTTGTTTTTCAAGCATTATATGAGAGAATTTATCTTCAATGTCTATGTGCCTGTTTACCTTCTCATAATCTTAGAGTTTTTAGTCAGGTATATTGTTTGGTCATTTCTTTCCCCAAAATTGTCTAGCAAGTAGAATGTGTGCTGTTTTACTCTGTTTTGCTCTATTTTTAAAGAGATTGTGGATACTATTTGGAGTTCTGTGTAGCAGTTTGATTCATTTTATGATATAGAACATATATTAAAGCATGTACTCTGAATTATAACTTATCAGGTTACAGAAATTATCTCAGAGATTCGGGCGCCCATTGTTACTGTTGGTGCTGGTGATCCAGCTGATGCAAGAAAGAAAGAACTCAAGGTAAATTTCTTCTAAATTAAATAAATGCTTGAGTATAACGTAGCCGTGCAAGTCTTTTGTTTCCTCTTGCTCTACATTTTCAAAATTGTTCTCACAGAGTCAAATTATTGATTAACTGTTAAACTATAAGAGTATCTAAAATGTTACCAGATTATGCAGTTTGGAAGATTTGCCCTTCTTTGGATCAGGAAGACTACGAGTTTTTTGTATATGGCTGTTGTTGTATTGGTGTCATAATGTTAAGTATTACTCTTTAGTTTGTTATAGATGTTCATAATAATAGTTTTTGTTAAAGCAATTTATATCTTTCCTTAGATGGCAGAAATAAAAGTTAAACTTATTGAGGCAAAAGAAGCTTTGGAAAATTGCATTAACTTACAGGATTTTAATCAAGCATCAGAATTAAAAGAAGAAATAAAAGCATTAGAAGATGCCAAAATAAACCTATTGAAAGAGACAGAGCAACTTGAAATCAAAGAAGTCCATATAGAGAAGGTATAGATTACTTTATCATACTAAATTTCAGCTGTTATTAATCATCTCAACTACACTTTATTTTCTTTCTTAACTCAAATCTGCCAGAATATATTTATTTGGAGGACTTTTTAGCAGTATCATGAATTAACATGAAAATAATTTTTTTCTCTTGTTTCTTTTTATCTTAGACTTTGAAAGGCCTCAATTAGCTTTAATTATTATAACTAGGACTTTATTTGCTCCCTTGTCATGCTAATCTCTGTAGTCTATATAGTCTTTCTTCCTTGCTAAGGAAACTTGCCTTCTAGTGTTTTCCTTGTGTGTGTGTGTGTGTGTATGTGTGTGTGTGTGTGTGAGAGAGAGAGATTGAGCGAGAGAGTGTATGTGTTTTGAATGCTTTAGAAAAGGAATATGCATCTATCTATCCATCTTTTTCTTTGTGGAAGACTCCTGACTTTTCTGAGCTAGGAAAAGAATTTCTATAACTATCCCATTATACATGTAAATTTTTAAAGCTTAACTACATTTTTGTTTTTAGAAAAAGCTAAGTAGTTTTGTTATTTTAAATGAAATACTAAGCATTTTATCTAGTAACACTTAAAGCTGAGTTTCAGCATTCATTTTTTTTTTAAACCTCATTGTGTTTGATAAACTTGTCATATTTTATCATAAGATAGAATGGTATCAGTATAATATTTGATGTTAACTTTCAGGGGGTCTTTTAGAATTTTGCCTTTTGTAGTAAATATCATTATTATTTTACTTCAGTTTAGAAAGTGCTGATTGGAGTATGCTCATAAGTAGAATACTGAATAGGGAAGAGTTTACTATACAGGAGCATTTTGTAAGTTGTGCTATGTCCTTGTGCTCTCTAGCCATAGACATCCCTGCTCAAACACTCCACTTTTGAGTATGCCTGAATTTTATTTTCCTAGCTAGTACCTTATTTTGTTTGACAAAGTCTATGGATTATTATAGGTTCTTTAATTTGAGGAGCAGATTTAAAGTGAAAAATGAAAATAGAAACTGAAAAACAATATAAACTCCAGGTCTGAATTGGAAAAATATGAACAAATATGTCCTATCGTGATTAATATCATCTGTTTAACTTGATTTCCTTTGATCTTTTGTGTGTTCATTTGTCCTATTTAAGGGTTATAAATTTATTATAGTATAATTTACAGCATGGCATAATAGATGGTATAGGCGGGGAAGTTATAGGGTTGAATGGAGAGGCATCTAACCCAGGTAGGCTGTTGTTGGCTTCCCCAGGGGAAGAAATGTTTTCACTTGACATTTGAGTAAAAATAACAACGTAAGCTAACATTTACAGGATGCTTTTTCTGTGGTAGTCACTGCTTCAGGCACTTCGCAAGTGTTTGATTCTCACTATAACCTTATGGGGTGGTGTTATTTTCATTTTATAGAGGAAAAATAACTTGCCCAAAGTCACACAGATAGTAAATTGTAGAGGCAGGATTCAAATCCAGGCAAGTCAGGCAGGTGGCTTTAGATTTGTGCCTTTAATGCACTCTGTTGTCTCTCCCTGATGAATTGTTAAAGGAATGCAGGCAGATGGAAAGGCATGTGTGAAGGCCCAGAAGTTAAAGAGTACCTGCTGTGTTTGAAAACTTCAGGTCCACATGACTAGAGAATTGAGGGGGGAGAGGTAAGAGAGAAATCTAGTGGAAAAATTAATGGCCAGGTCTTATAAGGCCTTGTATAAGCAATATTGAAAACTTTCTGCCTTAGCCAAGGATCATGGTGAACCACTAAAGGTTTTAAGTGGTAGGATGAGATTTATATCTTCGTCAGAAAATGGGTTGCAGCGTGATAAGAGCCTAGGCAGGCATAGTAGTTGAAGACTGTTAAATTAATGTAGGCTTGATATGATTACAGCCTGAACAAGATAATGATGGTGGATGTGGAAAGAAGTGATGGATTTGAGAAGTATTTAGGAATTAGTAACAGGGAGAAGAGTGAGTCAAGAATGTATTGTAGGTCTTTTGGTTTGGACATTTGGGTAGATGGCAGTGTTATTTATGGAAATAGCACAAGAAGAGGGATTGGGGTAATGATAAATTGGTTCTCTTTTGGACATTTAAGTTTGAGAAGCCTGTGGAACATACAAGAGGAAATGTCTTATAGCAATTGTATATATGAATCTGAAACTTAAGAAATAGCTGGGTCAGCTCATGTATTGTAAATGGAGTTGGATAATTGGATAAGATTGCCAGGGAGTGTGTCTAGAGACAATATGCCTTAGACAAAGCCCTGAAAAAGCTAACATTTAAGGGATGGACAGAAGATATTCTTACTAATGCAGAATATTTTGTGTTTCATTTTAGAATGATGTTGAAACACTACAGAAGTGTCTTATTTTGTGCTATGAACTGTTGAAGCAGATGTCCACTTCAGCTGGTATAGGTGCAACCATGAATGGCATCATTGAATCTTTGGTATGTTTGTGGCCTTTGAGGCTTTATACTTTAGCCCATTCCTTCCTCATTTCATAAGTAATACGTTCCTTGGAGTTCCAAAGAAGAAAAAGATGACCATCTTAAACATCTGATAAATATAAGTGGTAAAAATAAAATTATATAGTGACTACTTCATATTGTGAAGATTAAGATAATATATATAAAAGACCTGGTATATAAGTATATTTATTCCTTTAAGAAGTATGAAAAAATTATGCTAGAAAGAGATGTAGAATATCTTCGTTCTTTGATAGTAAGGGGAAATACTGAAACACATCAGGAATATTTAAATATTGGAATCTTGCTATATAGAAAGACTGTGAGACTGTTGACATTGTGAGTCCCATGAAAGGAATTTGTTTTTTCCTGTATATTTAAAGGACTTTATACTTAAGTAGCTCTTCAAAGGTAATTTCCATATTATTGAGCATAGGGACATAAATACTGCAATCTGTAGTAAAACAACATTGTCTGATAGCAATGTAATGCAAACCACATGTAACTTTACATTTTCTGTAGCCACATTTAAAAATTAAAAAGAAACAGGTGAAATTAATTTTAATATATTTAACCCGATATACCCAAAATGTTTTAATGGCATCATTTACTCAATATTAAACTACTGAGATATTTTACATTCAGTTCTTCATACTAAGTCTTTTTTTTTTTTTTTAAGTAAAAAAAGCATGGAGCCCAGTGCAGGGCTTGCTTGAATTCACGACCCTGAGATCAAGACCTGAGCTGAAATCAAGAGTCGGACACTTAACCAATTGAGCCGCCCAGGCGCCCCCATACTAAGTCTTGATAGCACATCTCAGTCTGGTGTAATCACATTTCAAGTGTTCTGTAGTCACATGTGGTCAGTGGCTACAGAATCACATAGTGCAACTCTAGGGTATTGTTTTTACCAGCACTACTTATCCAAAGCAAATTTTGAATGTATCCAGGCTCTTCCAGGATTCTCCCCCAATTGTTTTTACTTGGGATTAATGAAAAACAGCCAATGAATATAATCTAAAATCAAGTTCCTTGGATTGTCATGAGTTTCTAAAGTCAGTAAAGAAGACCAATTATTGTTTACAACAATGTAGAACTTCTGATTGAAAGAAGATTTTACTAAGCCATTAGAATTTTAGCTTTATTCTTAGTGAAGCAAATGTCTTTAGTGAAAAGTAGTACTTTTAAAGTTCTGTTTGCATACTTTATGTCTGGTCCTGTTGCAAGAGAATGGTAAACTATCGTATACGACACAATTGAAGTAGTAAATATGAAGACTGTATACTTGTTGGAAAAGATACACAATTTTGAGTGAAGAAAGAACACAAAATTGAATGATCATAATGATTTTAAGTATACAAAAACAATTTATGTCTAAAGATCAAAAGAAACTAGAGGGGGGTGCCTGGGTGGCTCAGTTGGTTAAGCAACTGCCTTCGGCTTGGGTCATGATCCTGGAGTCCCAGGATTGAGTCCCGTGTCGGGCTCCCTGCTCAGCAGGGAGTCTATTTCTCCCTCTGACCCTCCCCCCTCTCATGCTCTCTCTCTCATTCTCTCTCTCAAATAAATAAATAAATAAGAAAGAAAGAAACTAGAGGGATGTAAATGAGTAGGGTATTTAGAGGAGTTGTAATATTTTAATGAAGTTACCATTTTTAAGTAAAAACCGTAAGTTACTAATTGAACAAATATTTATTGAACATCTACTATATACTAAATGCCAGTGATAGAGTGTATATGGTATACAAAACATGTAGACTGCCCTTGTAGATCTTCTGGTCAAGTGAGAGGGACATCAATCAAATATAAGTAGAAGGTTATGCCATTGATAAGTGCTATGAAAAAGAGCTATATGGTCATATGTGAATTTATAATAGTGGATTGGCTCTATTCAGGGAAGATGACCTTGATCTGATTTTTGAATAGACATTAAGTATGTGAAAAAGGGAAGGAAGAATATTCTAGATTTGCTCTCTCCAGTACAGTTGCAACCAGCCACATGTGTCTATTAAAAACCTGTGTCTAGGGGCGCCTGGGTGGCTCAGTCAGTTAAGCGTCTGCCTTCGGCTCAGGTCATGATCTCAGGGTCCTGGGATCGAGTCCCATGTCGGGCTCTCTGCTCAGCGGGGAGTCTGCTTCTCACTCTCCCTCTGTGTACTCTCTTTCTCTCAAATAAATAAATAAAATCTTTAAAAAACAAAACCTGTGGCTATTAACAATTAGTCCAAACTGAGATGTGCTGTGAGGGTCAAAATACATTGGGTTTTGAAGACTTAGTACAAACAACACAATGTAGATTATCTCAATTTTTTTAATATTGATTACATGTTGTAATGTTAATAATTTGGTTATATTGGGTGTAATAAAGTACACTAAAATTAGCTTCACATGTTTCTTTTAAATTTTCTAGAAAATTTAAAGTGACCTATGACTTAACATATTTCTGTTGAATAGCACTGAATGGAAGGCATCAAAATCAGACCATTGTATAAGCAAAGAGCAAGGGGTAGCATAATATAAGGTAGTACTAAGAGAGACTACACAATGAGATATATGTCATGTAAGGGAGTTTTATCTTTGTCCTATGAGCACTGGGAAGCTATTAAGTCACTTTTAGCAGGTGGAAGGGGAGGTGTCTTGTGATCAGACTGTATTTCACTCTGGCTACATTCTTCTGTTTTAGCAATTTAATATTTCCTTTTTTTTTTTTTTAAAGATTTTCTTTTTTATTTATTCATTTGAGACACAGAGATAGAGAGAGAGTGCATGAACAGGGGGAGAGGCATAGGGAGAGGGAGAAGCGGGCTCTCTGCCGAGCCAGGAGCCGGACGTGGGGCTTGATCCCAGCACCCTGGGATCATGACCTGAGCCGAAGGCAGACGCTTAACCATCTGAGCCACCCAGGCGCCCCTACCTTTTTTTTTTTTTTTAACTGAAAATTGTTAGACAATATGGATAAGAAGTAGATCTGTGATATCATACAGAAATTATCTATTTCACCATGTTTTTAATATACTGTTAGGAATTTCTTGTCCTCGTCAAAATTATTTTAATTAAATTTATTTAATTTAGATTCTTCCTGGAATAGTAAGTGTTCATCCTGTAATAAGAAATCTGGCTGTTTTATGCTTGGGATGCTGTGGACTACAGAATCAGGATTTTGCAAGTAAACACTTCGTATTACTGTTGCAGGTAGGATTTATCCTATGACAAAATCTTGGTTGTATTTCCTGAAATAAGTACTCAGAATCTGTGGTGATAATTTGAGTGCTCTGAATTTAATTTATTCCAGGGCTTATTAATGATGATGACTGTTATGGATGACTTTTAGGGACTGGATGATTTTTATCTTTAGATTTCTTTCTTGTTAAAGTAGAAAAAAAGATGAAATGTCAATTATTTAAGATATTTTTTAAAAATTAAACATATAGCATATTCTGTGCCCAGCATTATTCTAGGCTTGGAAAATAATAAGATAGGTAATGAAAAAAACCAAGATAAAGGTTGCTGTCCTAATGGAGCTTACATTTTAGAAGGGGAAACACAATGAAAAATAAACAATACATAGCGAGTCAGATTGAAAAAAGCAAAGAAGAGGAGTAAGGAGTGGAAATAGGGAGAAGGATCTATTTCTTAGAGAAAGGCCTCACTAATAAGTTGAATTTGAGCCAATACCAGAGGAAAGTGGGAGAATGAACAATGTAGATATCTGGGTAAGATGTTTCTGAGGAGAGGGAAGAACAGGGGAAGGGCCCCTGAAGTAGGACTTTGTTTCACATGTTCAAGGAGCAGGGTAACTATGGCTAGGGCAAACTGAGCAAAGAGGAAAATAGTAGGAGAAAGTATTTGCAGGCAACAGGATGTCCGTATCTTCTAGGGACTTAAGAGACTTCACTGTGAATGAAATGGGAAAGAACTGGAGGATTTTGAGTAGAGGATTATTATGATCTGACTGGGGTAGAGTGTTGATGTAGACTAGGGGTTGACAGACCTTCTCTGTAAAGGGCTAGAGAGTAAATATTTTTGACTTTGCAGGCCATATGGTGTGTCTCGAGTACTATTCTGTGGTGCAAGTGTGAAAACACCCAAGACAATATGTAAATGAATTAGTGTGGTAGTAGTTTAGTAAAAATCTATTTATGGACAGTAAAATTTAAATTTCAGATAATTTTCACATGTAATGAAATTGTTTTTTTTTAACCATTTAAAGATGTGTAACTCTTCTTAACTTGAAGTCTGTGCAAAAACAGGTAGCAGACTGGATTTGGCCCCTTACCCATAGTTTACAGGTCCCTAATATTAACTGTAGGGGTACAAGTATGGAAGCAGAGATACTCATAAGGAAGGTATGCAATAATCCAGGAAAGAGATGATGATTTGGACCAGTATTCAAGTGGTTATTGGGGTTGTGAGAAGGGGTGGTAATATAAGTTTGGAAGATGACATCTTTAGAATTTGGTGATGAATCTGATGTAACATGTGAGAGAAAGAAATTGAAGATAGCTAAGAATTTTAGCCCAAATAATTGGAAGGATAAACTTGCCCTTTCCTGTGATAGGGAAAACAGAGGAACAGGTTGTATGGCAGGTGGATGAGATAAGGAGTTCAGTTTTGGGCATGGTAAATTTGAAGTTTGAGTTCCAAGTGGATATATCAAATAAGACATTTGTATGTGAGTTTGGAGATAGGAGGGAAGTGCAAGTCGGAGAGATTAATTCTAAGTCTTTATAATAGTATCCAGTGCTTAGAGATTGGATGTTATGTGAGGGATGAGTGTAGATTGAGTAGAGATCTTGACTTTGTAGTTCCCTAGGGCTTAGGCCACATTTCAAGGAAAGGGGAGATAAAGAGAACCAGTAAAGGCTAAGATGAAGTAGACAGTAAGGGGAGAGTGTGATGTCATTCCTAGAAGGCAAGTGAAGATGATATTTTACAGGGGCTAGCATCACCCGACTGTCCAATGCTGGTGACAGGTTGATAAGGATTTATAATTGACCATTTGGGGCAAATAAGGAGGTGTTTGGTGACTTTCATGAGAATAGCTTATGTGAAGGGCAAAGCTTTATTGGAGTGGGCTGAAGAGAGAATTATGAGAGAGGAATTGGAGATAGCCAGTGTAGACTACTCTTCCAAGATTTTATTTTTGTTAGGAGAAATAGAAATGGGGAGGTAGCAAGAGAAGGGTTTGGAATAAAAAGAAGAGGTTTTTGGTTTTGTTTTAGATTTTTTTTAAGATGGAGAAGATTACACCATGTTTGTAATAAATACTAAGGACAATGGCTCTGTTGAAAGGAAAAAATTGATAATACAGGAAGAGAAGGCACTTGCGAGAATGCTACTGAATAGACAAGAAGGATGAAATCTAGTGTACCAATGGAATGTATTTGACTTTTTAATGCCTTTGGACATCTGTCTTTTAACATTTGGGCCTGGCTTAACTTCAAAAATATACCTCCCTCCACTTCTCCATATGAAAAGACAATGTGACTCAGGTAGCATCTGGTATTGCCAAATCTAATGGTATAAAAAAGCTGCAGGGAATTTTAGTGCAAATTGCTTGCCAGCGGTAAATGGGAGTGCTTTGTGTGCTCGGTTTGAAAATAACATGTGACAACACAGATCATCATTTTCATGAAAAGATTATTTTAAAAGACTGAACTCTGGGGTGCCTGGTGGCTCAGTTGGTTAAGCATCCAACCTTTTATTTTGGCTCAGGACATGATCTCTCAGAGTCCTGAAATCTGCCAGTGTTCATGGGAGTCTGCTAGAGATTCTCTCTCTCCCACTGCTTTGCCCCCTGCTCGCACGTGCTCGCTCGCTCTCTCTCAAATAAATAAATAAATCTTAAAAAAAAAAAAAAAAAAAGACTGAACTCAAGCAATAGTAGAGTATTCCCTCAGCATGAAACCCTTATCTTGGAGCATGCTTTAATGTTGCAATCACATTACCGAGGGAAAAAAAGCATACAATTAGAACTTGGGGAAGTCATGTGTTCTGGAAATGGTCAAACTGCTCATGGCTTGTATCAGAGGAAGAAAATTAAAATCATACTTACGTCAAAAGATAGTCATTAGGAATTTCAGGGTTTTGTTTTAGTTTTCCTTTTTTGGAGCATTTGGCATCTCATCAATTTATTTACTGTGCAGTGATGAAATTCCTGTTGATGCTCTGTTTATATTTATCATCCTATGCTGCTGTTGTCTTAGAAAAATTTCTGTTATTGTTAGATCCTTTTGGAAACTTGAAATGTCAGTATTATCTTTTTTATTATTTTATTTTTAAAAGATTTTATTTATTTGACACAGAGCGAGAGATAGCGAGAGCAGGAACACAAGCAGGGGGAGTGGGAGAGGGAGAAGCAGGCTTCCCCCAGAGCAGGGAGCCCAATGTGGGACTTGATCCCAGGACTCTGGGATCATGACCCGAGCCGAAGGCAGACGCATAACGACTGAGCCACCCAGGCACCGTCAGTATTATCTTTAAAAATGATGTGAAAGTTCCTTTCTCAAAGAAACAAAAATTTTGGTACTTTGTCCAGATGAATCATTTATAGTACTTGGCCCTACATCTGGTTTTGCTCTAAGATGTAGAGTGAATCTACATGTGTTATAGTCATTCTTTCTCAGTCAGTTGGCATTAGTGATTCTGTTAGTAATTAGAAGGAAGTCTTGTTTACTATTGTGAAATTTTTTGGCTTAATATAGGTGCCCAGAGAATAAAATCCTGTATTTTCAAAGAGGTTTTGCTAAGAAATACTGTATATATAGTAAGCTCTCTACTTGGGTTTCCTGGCTTCCTAGAAGATGGGTCTTGAAGTGCTAGATTGATCTCTGGTCATTACTCTTAAGTGGAAGAAAAATCTTATTAGAACATTCAATAGTGAACAATTCATTTATGTCTAGCTTAAGTAGGTTTTTTTTGGCTCTAAAAATGGGATAAAACATTCATTAAGATGTTCTATATACCATTAAGAATGCTGCTGAAAAATTGTGAGTTGTAGTCAGGTTGGAACTCTAATAGAGGAGATTAAAGGTAGACAGTTACATAAAATTTCTAGTATTGCAGCAAAGGAAACACCATAGAACTTTTCTAAAAGATAATTAAGTTCACTTAGCCTTTAAAGATGAAATGTGGATTTTGATCCTTTTAATTTTTGCTGGCCATAACATCAGTAATAAGTGCTGTGGTCATTGCAGCCAAAGAAATACAGTATGATTGTAATGCTTAAGCGTGTCCTGGAGCATTCTGATATATTTAATACTAACTCATGCTCCACTTGACAGAGCGTATAGGAGCCTTGATACTGTTTATTTTTATATTTGTACTTCTCCGTCGTGGAAAGGAATTGTCAAAATCAAGCAGGTGTGAAAGATAAATGATGTTTCTTATCAAGACCATTCCACAATTTTACCCTCTTCCAAATCAAACCAGTTAATAGAAAAGCAGCCTTGTCATGGAATTAAAGTTTTAAAGAATTGAAGTTGCCCCCCTCTTTTGTAATATAAACAACTGAGATCCCTAAACTTTTTTTGAGGACTAGCTATTAATATTTGCCTGAAAAAAAAAATCTATATCTATATCTATATATATGTATAGATAAAGATTTTTTTTTTTTTTTTAAAGTAGGCTCCGTGCCCAATGTGAGCCCAGTGCAGGGCTCAAACTCATGACCATGAGATCAAGAGTCAGACACTGACTGAGCCACCCAGGCACCCCTAGATAATTTTTTGTGAATTAAAAATGTTTGTGAATATCAGGTTCAAATGCAGTAAAATAAGTTATATGTAGGGGCTTCTGGGTGGCTCAGTCAGTTAAGCGCCTGCCTTGATCCCAGGATGCTGGGATCAAGTCCCTTGTCAGGCTCCTTGCTCAGCAGGGAGCCTGCTTCTCTCTCTCCCTCTGCCCCTCCCCCTGCTTGTGCTCTCACTCTCGCTGTCTCTCTCCCTCTGTCAAATAAATAAATCTATAAAAAAAAAATAAAAAAAAGTTATATGTAAAATTTTGTCCTTTTTTTTTTTTGTATGTTATTCTGCAGTGGGGTTTTAAGCTCTTCTCATGTCCTTAAAAGGGTTTATGATCAAAAGAAGTTAACCACTGAATGAATTCATTTGTTCATAAAGTTACTTTTAGGGCTCTCATTAGAAGATTTTAAATTAAGGGAAAATAGCTATCTTTTGGGGGAGTAAGAAATCAGTTCTTTTTTAAATCAAGCCTTAGTAATACAAATTGATTTAAGACACGTATACACACTTGTTAGAAAGGTAAGAGAGAGAAATCCTTCCTTCCTTCCTTCTTGGCTTCATGCCCAACATGGGGCTCAAACTCACAACCTCAGGATCAAGAGTCACATGTTCTACTGACTGAGCCAGTTAGGTGCCCCAGAAATTATTTCACTTTAAAGTCTTGCTTAGATAAATACAGTATTGAGAGCTATTGCTAACCAGTAAGGGACTGAGAAGGACAAGGAAAACCAAGTTGCTGCTAAAAGAGTAGCATGTTTAGAAATCTTATAGAATAGTCCTTACATTGCATTTGTCTTTGGGAAATTTGCAGGTCTTACCATAATAGATAACATTTTGAAATTTCTTTCAAAGATTTGAGCTATTTTTCTCAATTCACTAACTTGACCAACTTGTGATTTTTATTCATTCTAAAGGCTAAGCCATATAGCCAAGTAGTGGATCCATGTCCAAAATTTAAGTGCATTAAAGAATATAATAAAGCTTTTCCTAATAGAAATATTCAGCTCTATCTTTTTCATGGCTTTGAAATTTAGTATATAGGAATTCAGTGTTCTTAACCTAGGACAGACTCATACAAACTGCTGGATTTTATAGTGTACCCCCTTTTATAAAGGAGTCCAATTCATTGAGAACTGAATTTACTTTTAATGAAATTTGAATTTATTGAACTAATAAAGAAAATTTTATCTTTAGTAAAGCTTGCTAACCTGGAAGAGTACTGATACTCTAATGAATGCTTTTTATTGGTTAAAATGTAATGTTTTTTACTTAATGGATGGCCGTAACAATTACAATGTAATTGAACAGTTTTTCTAGATCTTAAAAAAAAATCATATCCAATATATTCATTCTTTTTCAAATAAAAGGAACAAATAATATAATACAGCCTGATTCTAGTTCTAGGAATTTTTTTTGTACTGAAGATGAACTTTTCCTGAATGAAATAGAAGTCTAAATGTTATGGTACAAATGAAAATAATAACGTTAAAACAAATTTTAATTTTTGAAAAATGATGTTTCATGTGGACTTGACTGTTGGAATTAGACTAAGAAAATAAGGTACATGTTAATTTTACACAGCATAGACAATGAAAAGTTTACTGAATTTACTTTTTTTGGCGGGGGATGTTTCAATTTAGGTTTTGCAAATTGATGATGTGACAATAAAAATAAGTGCTTTAAGGGCAATCTTTGACCAACTGATGACGTTTGGTATTGAGCCATTTAAAACTAAAAAAATCAAAGCCGTACAAAGTGAAGATGCAGAAATAAACACTGATGGAGACCAAGAGTTCAAAGAAGCTGAAGAAGAGACTGCTACAGCCAAGAATGTTCTGAAACTCCTTTCTGATTTCTTAGATAGTGAGGTAAGAAATAATCACAGCCTTGTTATTATGAAATTTCTTTTTATTGTGTATGTTTGGGCTCTTTATTTTTTTTAGGCTGAAGCTTAAATTTGACCAACATTTAAAAATTTTGCCTTTTAAATATGATTAAGTTCCACTTTCATTCCTAATATACCTTGTTTCTCACTGTCAGATTGTATATGCAGAGAATTGAAGTGTAAACAAAAATGACTATTAGAGGGGGTTCTGGTTTTTTTTTTTGTTTTTTTTTTTTAATCTTTTCCCATGTCTTTATGATTTATGACTTAAAGTTTTTCCCCCGGAGTCTTAAGAAATAATTTAAAATAATTTTACATTGGGTTGGTGGAAGGTCTGAGATAGGGTATGGAATTAGATTTTTTTCCTTAAGGTACCTCTGAACTACATTTTTATAGCATATATAAGCAATAAAAAAAAAAATTTTTTTTTTTAAGATTTTATTTCTTTATTTGACAGAGAGAGACACAGAGAGAGAGGGAACACAAGCAGGGGGAGTGGGAGAGGGAGAAGCAGGCCTCCTGCGGAGCAGGGAGCCCTATGCTGGGCTCTCTCCCAGGACTCTGGGATCATGACCTGAGCCAAAGGCAGACGCTTAACGACCGAGCCACCCAGCTGCCCCAACAATCAAAAATTTTTTGTATTTTTTTATTGAGGTGAAATTGATATAAACAGTTTTAAAGTGGACAGTTGATTGGCATTTAGTACCTTCACAATGTAATGCAACTGCCACCTCTATATAATTTTTAAAACATTTTCACTATCCCAAAAGGAAGAACTGTATCCTTTGAGCAGTTGCTCCCTATTTCTCCTTCTGCCTGTTCCTTATAGTCACCAATATGCCTTTTGTCTCTATGGATTTAACTTTTCTGGATGTTTCATATAAATGGAATCATATATATGTGACCTCATGTCTGCTTTCTTTCACTTAGCTTCTTTTCTTTCTTTCTTTTTGGATATATTTGTTTATTTATTTGCTTTATCTGTAAGTCCCATGGGGGAGAGGACTATGCTTGCATGTTTTTGTTTTTTTGTTTTTTAAATAGCCAAGGTATAGTACATCATTAGGTTTTGATACAATGTTCAGGATTCATTAGTTGAATATAACACCCAGTGCTCATCATATCACATGCCCTCTTTAATTCCTATCCCATTCCCCCACCCACCTCCCTTTCTGCAACCCTCGGTTTGTTTCCTGTAGTCAAGAGTCTCATGGTTTGTCTCTCTCAATGATTTCTTCGCATTCAGTTTTTCCTCCCTTCCCCTATTGTCTTCTGCATTATACCTTATGTTCCACATGAGTGAAACCATATGATAATTGTGTTTCTCTGATTGACTTATTTCACTTAGCATAATACCCTCCAGTTCCATCCATGTCGATGTAAATGATAGATATTCATCCTTTCGGATGGCTGAGTAATACTCCATTGCATATATGAACCACATCTTCTTTATCCATTCATCTGTTGAAGGACATGTTGGCTCCTTCCACAGTTTGGCTATTGTGGACATTGCTGCTATGAACATTGGGGTGCATGTGCCCCCTCTTTTCACTACATCTGTATCTTTGGGGTAAATTGCTGGGTCATAGGGTAGTTCTATTTTTAACATCCTGAGGAATCTCCATGCTGGTTTCCAGAGTGACTGTACCAGCTTGCATTCCCACCAACAGTGTAAGAGGGTTCCCCTTTCTCCACATCCTTGCCAACATTTGTTGTTTTCTGTCTTGTTAATTTTAGCCATTCTCGCTGGTATAAGGTGGTATCTCATTGTGATTTTGTTTTGTATTTCCCTGATGGCAAGTAATGTGGAGCATTTTTTCATGTGTCTGTTGTCCATTTGTATGTCTTTGGAGAAGTGCCTGTTCATGTTTTCTGCCCATTTCTTGACCGGATTATTTGTTTTTTTGGATGAGTGTTGAGTTTGAGAAGTTCTTTGTAGATCTTGGATACCAGCCCCTTAATCTGTAATATCATTTGCAAATATATTCTACCATTCCATAGGTTTGTTGATTGTTTCCTTTGTTGTGCAGAAGCTTTTTATCTTGATGAAGTCCCAAAAGTTCATTTTTGCTTTTGTTTCCCTTGCCTTTAGAGATGTGTCTTGGAAAAAGTTGCTTTGTCCAAGGTCAAACAGGTTGCTGCCTATGTTCTCCTCTAGGATTTTGATGGATTCCTGTCTCACATTTAGGTCTTTCATCCATTTTGAGTTTATCTTTGTGTATGGTGTATGATAATGGTCCAGTCTCATTCTTCTGCATGTGGCTGTCCAGTTTTCCCAACAGCCATTTGTTGAAGAGACTTTTTTCCATTGGATATTCTTTCCTGCTTTGTTGAAGATTAGTTGACCATAGAGTTGAAGGTCCATTTCTTGGCTCTGTATTCTATTCCATTGACTTATGTGTCTGTTTTCATGCCATATCATGCTGCTTTAATGATTACAGCTTTGTAATAGAGCTTGAAGTCAGGCAGTGTGATGCCCCCAGCTTTGGTTTTCTTTTTCAACATTCCCCTGGTGATTCGGGGTCTTTTCTGATTTCATAGAAATTTTAGGATTGTTTGTTCCAGCTCTGTGAAAAATGTCAGTGGTTTTTTGATAGGGATTGCATTGAATGTGTAGATTGCTCTGGGCAACATAGACATTTTAACAATGTTTATTTTTCCAATCCATGAGCAAGGAATGTTTTTCCATC